TAACCTCTCCAGGTGCTCTTCCTCTGTGTCATCTGCGATAAACACATCGTCGATGTAAATTGTGGCGCCTAGGTCTTTGAGCACGTCCATCACGACTGACTGGAATACGTTAGGAGAATTTTTATATCCCTGTGGTAATTGTTGCCAAACATAACTTTTTCCTTGGTGGGTAAAAGCTGTCTTTCCTTGTGATTGTTTTGCCAGCCTAAGAGAGAAAAATCCATTTGCTAAATCGATGCAAGATTTGTACTTTTTCACTTGTAGAGTTTTTAGGGTGCCCTGCGGGTTGATTAGGCTCGCTCTGTTGGCTACTGTTCGTCTGTTAAGGGCTTTAAAATTAATCACTGGTCGCCACCCTCCTCCTGCGGATTCGGGTTTCTTAACTGCCTGGATTGGGCTATTAGTTATGGGGTTTGATTCTTCTCTAATAATTCCTAACGCTCCTAATTCTTTCACAATTTTGTTCATTTCTTCAACTGCTCCTGGATTCAGGGGATATTGTCTCACGGGTGGATGTACTCCTCCTTCGATGATATGCACAAATTTTGGGCCTAGATCCCCGCAATCATTTTTAAATCTGGCTATTGAGGCTTTCTCTAGTATTTGTTTTAACTTCTTTTTTCCCAGCCGGGGAGAAGTCACTCTCATCTATTTTTTGTTTTGTCACTTCAGGGATATTCACAGGTTTATACCAGTCTTCGGACTCACCTTGTTTGTGTGTGAACCCTATTTTTACTAGCCTAGATTTTAACTTCTCTAACCTTCTGTTTAAGGCTCTTCGGTTCTTTTTAGGTTTCTTTAGTTCTTTCAAATCTGTTATTGTCATAAGGTTATAAGGCCCTTTTATCCACACAATTCCTTGCCATAACCCGTAAGGCATCGTTTCAATTTTTCCGTTCGCTAACTGAACTGTCAGGTGTCCCACTGTTTTTAGGTTTCTGCGGGTCATAGACACCTCAGCTCCGGAATCTATCAGGTAAGGTTCTCCCTCTACTTTAGTGTAGATTTCGTCCCCCTCCCAATAGGCATCTTCCAGAGTGACCCGCAACCTATCTGCCATTATTTAGCTGGCCCTCCACTCCCTTTCTCCCGGGATTCATGGAGGGCTCGTTTTTCTTCTGGGGTCAGTTTTGCATATTCTTCTGGGGGTAGGTATTTACCTCCTTTCTGTGGTGTGGAGTTTGAAGCTGGGGCTGAAAATCGTTTTGGTTGTTGGTCCCTATATTGTGGCTCTGACTGCCTTGGTGGTCTCTCCCTGTACTGTGTCCCTTGCTGTCTCGGGAACTGTTCTCTGTATTGTGGCTGTTGAGGGGCCTTTTGTGTCGGCTTCGGTGGTTTTTGGCTTTGCCTGCTCTCACTTTTCTTCTTTTCTTCCCAGAATACACCTACACCTACACCCCCCTGAACATAAGAGGATCTGCGGTGGAAGTGGTCTCCAACTACAAGTACTTGGGTGTACACATGAATGACAACCTCAGCTGGAGCAACAACACCACCAGCCTGATCAAGAAAGCTCATCAGAGACTCTACTTCCTCAGACGGCTGAGGCGAGCTGGTCTGGGAAGCTCAGTCCTCACCTCCTTCTACAGGTGTGCAGTGGAGAGCATCCTGTGCTCCAGCATCAATGTGTGGCATGGAGGCTGCACAGCTGCAGAAAGAAAAGCTTTGCAGAGAGTGGTGAAGGCTGCACAGAAATCTGTTGGAATCAGTCTCCCCACCATCACAGACATCTACACCTCCAGATGCAGGAAGAGGGCCACCTGCATCATGAAGGACCCCACCCACCCAGCACACACACTTTTTGCCCCACTCCCCTCAGGAAGGAGGTTAAGGAGCATTAAGTGTAGAACCACTAGACTGAGGAACAGCTTCTACCCTGAGGCTGTTAGACTCATGAATCTCTAACTAGAATAATCACTGTGAAAAACCATATCATGTTGCTGCTGATCTGTTTCATGTTGCTGCTGATCTGTTTCAATGTTGATGTGTTCATGCGTGCACATCTGCTCACAGACTCATGTTCATGTTTGTGCTGATGTTCAATGTTTTATGTTATGAGTGCTTAGTGTATATTTAGTTGATGTTTTTCTTAGTTCATATCTTAGATGTTATTACTGTTTTTCTTAGACATTTTATTGTTGGATGTAACTGGGACCCCGTGTACATAATTTCGCTCCACCACATGTACCACATGAGGTGCGAATGACAATAAAGAAACTCTGACTCTGAGCTTCATTTCCGGGTCACGTGACTGAATCTACCAATGACAGAGCAACACGGGGGTGGGCTTTACGACCTGACACGTCTCTCAGCCAATCAAAACGTTACACACGGCCGTTTTCAACCAATCACAGATCGCCATTTCAGCTATCTGTAGCATTTAGCCTGAACAAGTCCGTCAACTTTTCGTCTTTTAAACTGTCAAAATGCACTATTTTCTGTTAAAAATGTAACGAATCAGCTCTGAGCTTAGCGGAGGCGGCGCTCCGTGGCAAAACGTCTTTTAAACCATTTAAAACAACTCGTTCGAACTTGTCAAAACAAGCCAGACCAGAGTCACGTCTGGACCACAGTTTACCAGAATAAAGCGTTTCCACACAAACCCAGCTTTAGTTACACATAACAGACGTACAATTCAGCTTTTTCAAAGAGACACGTTGACTCACAATTTCAGCTTTCAAAGCATCACAGCGTAAACATGCAGTGTTTTCTCCAAGCGCCGCAGCTGTGCTGCGTTTCAACACAGCAACAATCTGCACTTTTTCATCACAGCAGAATCTGCACTTTTTTTATGCCAACATGTAATATTCAATCGTTACACGAATACAACAGTCCATTTTATGAACCCGTCACGGGCCACCAGTTGTAGTATGAACATATGCATGAGATATATTCATAAATTAAACGGATTCTTTCATTTTTTCTGGACTGTATAAAACGTGCATTGAATTTAATAAAATGTGGACGTGAGACGTTAATTATCTTTGACCCATCAAAATGAATGCGGTCATTTATTAACAGAATCAAGTTTAACACATCACACATTTACATTAATTGGCAAGAATTGAAAATAACGACAGCTTATTAATCAGTTTTACAGGAGTGATAAACAATGCGGCGATTGTTTTCTCACTATCAGCAGAACAGCAGACGTCAAATCACACGGCGGTGATTGAAAACTTTGCTTCAGACATTTCTAAAATTATCTGTAATGATTTTAGCAGATAGAA